GATTTTGATTTCTAGTTTAGTTGTTGTAAGAATAAACTCAAGTCCCTGCCTAAGATTACTAAGGATCAAATTAGAGTCAAATGAATTCTTCCCCGATGGTGCTTCTTCTTGATCCTCTAAAGAAGCTTCCTATGGTGAGATTATTCAGGATAGCAATGGCAAGTCCATCTTTTGTTTCTGTAGCAATCTTATGGGGTGTTTCTCTTTTGTTGCTAAACTTTGGAACTTGTTTTTAGGTCTTCAATTAGTTTCCATGAAAGATATTCATACTATATCTATATAGGTAAAATGTGATTCCAAAGAGGTTTTTTCTCTAGTTGTGAACAATCAACATCCTAATCACCCTCTGATTCACTTGATTAATAACATTAGGAATTTGATTAAATTTATCATATTTGCCCACATTTTCAAGAAAGTTAATTCTTGCATTGATAGATTAGTTAAGTTAGGCCTTGAGACTTTTTACCCTTATCTTGTTTTAATGTTACTCCTTATATATTGCTCCATTTTCTTTATTTAGATACTCGTGGCAATAGGTCTAATAAGACTTTTGTCTAGTCTGTTTTATTTTTTGAGCTTTTAGCCTCATTGTAAAGCAAAAAAAATAAAATAAAATAACTTTTCAATTTTTTTCTTGTAATTTTGTTAATTTAACATCAAAATTAGTTTTATATTTTTAACTTAAATAATTATTTTAAACATATAAATTACTTAAATTTTATATATTTATTAAGGTAATTACTTTTGAATTTTTTCCTCCCAATTTTATTATAATTTAGTATTTATTAATTATAGATCTATTTTATTTTATTTTATTACTATAAATTATTTATTTTTATACAGTTGTAAGAAGCACCAATATTATATATATATATATATATATATATATATAATTAACAAGTGATTATACTGCAATTTATTAAATCAACATGGTTTACAATTTTAGATTATTAAAGTTAATCTTTTATTTTTAATTGATTAATGAAATAAGCATCTTAGTTCTTTATGAATTTGTCAATTGCATCACATAAACGCTGGAGGTAATAATACAAAAGAAAAAAAAAATATTTATTGTGTAATAATAGTTAGAATAGATTATTGACGATTAAATGAAACAAATTATAAAATATTTATGTAATGTATCAGTAACTACATAAGTATACTTACGTATAAAATTAAGAGTGTGTTTGTTTGAATGAAATATTTAAAGTGAATAATTTAATTTTTATTTAAAATTTTATGTATTAATTTTTTTTTTATTTAGATGATAAATTTTAAAGAATTCTAAAGAATTTTAATAAAGTAGTTAAATAACTTCCTTGTCTCTCTATCTCCTAGTCTCATGTTTAAATTCTTACGATACTCTTCTCTTTCTTAAGCTATCTCTCTCTTAAACAAAAATAATAATTACGTTACTAACAAAATAACAATAAAAGTTAATTAGTGCACAATTAAAAGAAAAAAAAATACTACTGCAGTACCAGCAAAAATCAACAAAATTTTCTTCTTATACCCCATGATTGATTCTTCAATCATTCTAGAATATCACTTAGTTTGATACTTTTATTTATTTTAAAATTTTGTATTTTTATGAAAGAAATTAATTTATTTAATTTATCCAAATAAAAAAGTGTAAATGAATTAAATTTAATTACTTTATTTAAAGAAAATATTTTAAAAATAAAAATTTAAAAGATGTAATTTAAAATTTTTAAATTTTTAAAAATTTAATTACTTTGTCCAAACACAATTGTTATAAGTTTTTCATGTTAATTTGTTGCTTATAATTATTTGTGCTCTTAAACTCTTTCTTTATATTTTTTATTCTTCTTTATAATCTTATTTCGACCCACCATCACTTTTTATTGTTTAAATAGCTAATGATTTGACTTGTCTTAATCATATGGATGATATTTGATTTGGATATCTCTTACTCACATTATTTGCATGCAGTTGCCCAAAGTGAACAATATATATGAATGATTTTATTCCATTTGACATTTGAAGATTATTATACTTATTTCTGTATTTATTTTATTTATTTTATTTATTTATTTCAAATAAAAAATAATTAATAGAGAAAAAATGTAATTCTACCTCTACATATATTTGGTTGAAAAAAGTGGAATGAAAAAATGAAAAAAAAAATCACATTTTTATAAAAACAACTATGTCTTGTCACCAATAATAATAATAAACTTTAGTCAATCTATAAGTCACTTTCACGCAAAATAAAAGAGTAATTCCTTTAAAACAATAGTTAGCCAGTTATTTTAGTTCGAAAATGATACTAATACCCAATCACAAAATGATGACAATCAATTGTAACATAACTCAGAATGATGACATAAAATTATTATAATTACAATCGTCTATATCATAAATATTGTCAATTACCATGAGTCCTTGACACACCATTCAATGATGTAATCCAAAAACATCGATTTCAACCATTTTAGATTTCACACTCAATCTCAAAGAAAATAAGAATGCATTGAAAATTTGAAAAGAACTCAATATTACAAATTCTTATTATGGTATGAGATAAACAAGGAAGCTTAACAAGTGAATAACTAACTACTCAATAGTTACTACCGACTATTAATAATGGAAGAAAGTTGAAAGCTAACTGAATTAATAAATTTGGATTACATAAAATAACTCCTCACAATCAATTGTTTACTAGATTAGAACATGGAGAATGTTGGGCAAATAATAGGATAATCGATTAACTAGCAATGTACAAAGTTGATTATCCTAACCTTTTATAGCATATATATTACGGTTGTTATTTTTCAAGCTCCAATGGTAGAGTACAAAAATCTTTATTTGCAGTTACCTTTTGAACCATTGTAAAAAGTTGATTAAAACATAATAAAACAAGTAGCCATATATCCATAAATCTCAAACATTTTTATCCCAAAAGTTTCTTTCCCTAAACAAATGGAAGAGAAATGGTGGAATGGAGGAAAAATGGTGTTCTCGACAAAATTGAGTGTTATGGCACAACTAAGTGCAAAGAACAAGTGGTTCAATCTAAGATACAAAGTAGTACCAGACAAAGTTATTAGTGGAATAGCACAAAAAAGTTATCTCTCTCATGCAGATTCTTTATCCCCATAATATTTTTAGTTAACCTATCACAGAAGATTTAGTTCTTCTTTCCTATTTTTCTCCTTTTATTTATTTTGTATTTCCTTTTAACCTGTACCAAAAATAGTGTGTTCAAAACAAACAAACTATGAATAAATAATATCAAAGACTAAAGTAATATATACCCGGTTGACTATTATGCAAGTCTGGTTAAAGTAATACAAGGTTGCAATTTTGTATTGTGGGATTACCTTCCATATAGCTCACGCCTAGGAACATACTGAATATGAAGCACATAGTGGACTGGCCATTAAGAAGTAGAAGGATGAGAATAGAAAAAAGTTGAACACAACTGAAAGAAAATTTCTTTTTATAATATGCCCTCTTTTTTTTATAATGCAAGAAAATTCTTTTTCTTTTTAAATTAAATTTCTGAAAGCCGTATCAAAAGGAATTACCTCAAAACAAAGGCTAAAGAAGAGGAGGTACCCCAAAGCCCAGACCCAGTCCTTGTTAAGAATCCACTAAACCCAAGAGCAAATAGAGCGAGGTCCAACAGAGGCTGAAGCATGAGAAGCACGCACCCAAATGGCCGAATCCATTTTATCTTTTTCTAACATAAGATATGTTTGTAAAATTATCAAGATGAAGATGTTGATTTAATAAGGAAGAAAGTCGGTTTCTTCAGATGATGGATCCAGTTTCTGAGTATTCATCACTTGGAAAGATGCTTTTGATTGGATTGGAGGTTCCATTTTGAAGAACAATTATTAATTATATAATCTTGGATCACTACGTATATACAATCTTCCTTAATTATCATGTATTATGCAATTGTGTTTTTTAATAAACAAAAACTTAATATTAAAATTTTGTCACAGGTTACAAGATTATTGATCGAGAGCATTTCGAACCATCTAATAGTTTCTCCATTGCTGATATTCTCCTCATTCCTGCACTAGAATTTCCCAATTTTATTTTGAAAAAAACAATTTCTTTCTAGTGTCAATCCTTAGACACAGCTCTCTGCATTTGGAATGCCTCCCATTTAGGAAAAATGTAAAAAATAATGATAATGGATATGATATAATAAAATAAAATAAAAAATTATATAAATCTATAAAAATAAAGACAATAATCTCGTTGATATTATATGGTTTCTATCGAGAGAGAAAACAAGAACAGGGGAAATTTGAAGTTTATGTTAAAATAAGAAAGAATTGCGAAAATTTCCAAGTTGGACGTTTTGGATTAGGTTGTTCAAACAGTTTGTTTTACAGCTGGTGATGACATTTTGCCTATAGGCAGCGCCGTCCACCAAACGTAATATTATTAGTTAAAACACATTTTTAATGATTATGTTGTTTGGATGGTAATGATCAAAAGGTTTGACCAAATCCCTTCTCCTCCAATTGCCTCAAAACAAACAATCATACTATTATTCTTCTGATTAGAACAAAGAATATTTTAACTCACTGCTAGCTCTTTCTCCTTAATTTCGTCAAGAACATAAAATCATATATGCTTATTGCAACCTCTCCTGACAATAATTGTCGCTGAACCAAACTTCGAATCCCTATAAAATATCGTAAGAAGGAATAGAACGCAGAACTCACAACATAAATAAACAATAAACTATTCCAGACTGATTACTTGCTTTATTCTACAATTAACACAAAACAATTTTCTTATTGCTTTTTCTAAAACCTCACAGTTCAAGTGACCATTTGGTCATAAAACACACAATTTCTTAAGCATCTCAGAAACCCATTTACAATTTACACAGTACCACCACTAAGTAAGCGTATGAGATCCTTTTGGTTTTCCACACGCTTGAAACTAAGAACCAAACTTCCCATGATTGAAATTAGCACAACCTTGAACACTTAAGTGTCTTCATATGGCAGTGATTACCAGAACTGTGTTGGTTGGTTTGCACCTTCAGCTTTCTTCAGGCACGTACCAATTGTTCCGTAGAGTGTTGTTCATGTTCATGCTGCAATTCGACGATGTGTCAAACACTGATGCGTAGATTGAACACCAGAAGAAACAACAATCTGGGTAGCAGAGGAAACAGGGTTGGAAGAGGGTGAAGGTGCAGAGAATGAAGCAGGGTTTTGAAACCGACCCGAGTCACCAGGGAGTCGCATGTATGAGTACGAAGGTGACTCACAAATCCATGATCCTATAGCAACTTCTTTGCCACTCTTGTATTGCATTATAGCCTTGTAAACAAAAGGAATAAGACCCTCCATTTTAATGTATTGGTTTGAGAGAAAACAGAGAAAGTGAAAAGGTTTTTGGTTTTAGGGGTATCTGAATTGGATTGAATGTGGGTGGAGAATGAGCAATTTCTTGGGTATAAAAAAGGGTTGGGAGGGGATGATGACGTTGAGTGCTAGTTTTGGATGAGAGTCCAGCTTTTCACGCAATGCCAGGAATTTTCAACGCAAACTCACACGTATGATCATGAAAGCTACGTGTTAACCAACACCTGTGTGCAATTCTTCACAGCACACAAGTTGAGCAAAATCTCTTCTTCTTTTACTGTTGTCTAGCTGGTTTTGTTTGATAGGTTTGAGCTTTGCCTTTTGGAACAAGATTGGATGGTTTGAGTTTTATTTTATTTCTTTATTCTATTCCCTCCCAAACTATTGACGGAGCATTGGTTTCTTCGTTCTTTTTCCAAAAAACAAATATTATCTAAACTCTATTTGTTTGTTTAGATGTTGTTTTAAATGTATGTTGGTGATAAAATAATTATTGTTCATTCAGTGGCGGCCAACTGTACCTGTATATGATGCTTGACATAAGATCTTAAATTAATGATCATGTTTTGCATATGAGAAATGATAGATGCATCTTCTCATGAAACATATCACTTCACATTTTATATGTACAAAATTAGAATGGAGGTTTATAAAAAGAAGATGAAATAACTTGTAAATAAATAATAAAAGATATCATATTTAAAGCTAAGTAACGTATATATCTGATTTATTTATCTTTTTCCTTGATCACCTAACTCATGTCAATCTATGTGAAGAGCTCATTCGGTTGTACCATGATATCATCCCCTTTTTTAATTAATTGATTTCTTCTTTCTTATGTTAGACAAGATTCTTTTCACAACTAATAGTTAAAATCACTTGTGTATGCTTTAGAGTACCAAAAAATATTTGGGAGAGAGAGGCAAAATCTTTATTACTTGGAGCAGCGACAATTGTAATCCTTTTTATCCACATGATAATCAAATTTTACATTTTGTTTACAATTTCAAATAGGTTTATTATTTTAAATATCATGAAGTATATTTTTAAACGTTTAGAATATGAGATTGATTGCTAATAGATGACTTGGGTTGAAGCCATATGATCCTTCCATTAGGTTTTGAGCCTTTATTATATAAACAAAGTCTACTAACTTAGGTTTACCAATCTCATTTTGACAGCTTGTTACCTTGATCGCCCTACTTGCACAAGACTAGTCAAAATCCTTTACCATTATAAGTTGGAATATCGGATTGGAAGCAGGTTTATAGCGAAACCACCTGCCCCAATGTGCACCCTTCATCTTTTGGTATATAACTATTTTGAATTGTTTTTCTTATATAAAAATAAAGTAAACAAGACAACATCGATTTGAATGTAAATCTTAAAAAATATACATTGATGTAATGAATTGATATAACAATCACATCCACATCTTTAGGCTTAAATCAAACAATTATATCCGCTAAGGTAAAAACTATCGTCACGGTGCAATGCTTATATTACTATTTGAAATATATTTTTAATTATTAAATATACCTAAATTCATGTTCTTGTTTTTTCTCTTTGTTCTAAATTATAGGAAGTAATCTTATATGACTCGAATACGATTACTTCAAATATTTAATGTAGTTATTTATTTAGAACTTAAACTTAATATTAGTTAAATAATTCGTTTGTATCAATACACTGTCAATTAGTTTAATCGGTAGATTAGTGAAATATCTAACGAAGGAAGTTTAAATCTGATAGGTAGGGTTAAGGAAAATTCACCCTCACCTCACATGCTCCATTGTCAAACATACGCTTGCAAGTCAATTGAGGTACAATGATTTCAGTTTTCTTACTTTATGATATATCACTGTGATTAAAGTATATTTTGATAAGCATGTAAATTAAGAATCAATTTACAAGCTCAAAAGTTAGAAGCTTCTGTAAGTGTATATAAATATGGGGATTTATACTTCTATCTTTCTGATAGACCTTCTAAATGTCATTCCTAAACCGTGTCAGAACTCAAAAGTCTATTACAGATAAGTTCAAAACCAATTTGCCAGCATACGACAGGAAATTCAAGCGATATCGTATGTTTAATTTAAATTTATAATTTAGTCAACGATTTTAAAAATAAACAAAGAGAAAGTCTAAATATAAACATTCTTAATTAGAGATTACCCTTTCTTCTCTACTATTCTGTTCATTAGATAGACTTTTTGTCATTATACTTGGGTTTCTAAAATTTATAAAATATGTTTGTGGTTGAAGTTAAAACGTTGTTATTAATTCAAATAGACTCCTTAATTAATCTGCTCTCTCATGAATGTTTGATCAAGTATAATTGGTTTTTTCAATTAAATTTTAAGTCCTGAATAAATAATGTCAACCTAATCAAAAGTTATAGCATTCAGCAAGCCGCGGCAACATTTAACTATAGTCGATTTTATTTTTTGGCAAAAGTATAGTCAAAATTAAATCAAATGGTGGCAAAGTGAAGTAAAATTTGCACCTTATTAAAAATTATAGCTTTTAGTTTGGGGTGACACTTGTCCATCATTGGTAAAGACTGAATATAGTTTTATAATTAATATTATGATATAAAATAAAGTTTCTGTAACCAGATGATATCATATCATTATATTTTTAAAAAAAAAATGATTTTTTAAATTATTTTAATTTATATGTTTATAATCTCCTTGAATGTTTCAATTTCAAACAAGATTTAAGGCAATTAAAGCATTCAATGCAATTAAACTATTAAAGTAATTATGCTTGCTTCATTCAAATACCCACTCCACTGTCTCGATCATTCATGAAGTCATGGTTTGCATCATGAGGAAAATCATCGATTTTAATATTTTGTGTTCATAATTATGATTCACTAACACGCCATATCATTTTCTTTCTTCACATCAATTTTTTATAAATGATTTTATTAAAATAAGTCTTAAGTATCTAAAAATAATAGTTTTTAAAATAATATTATATTTTCAATTTTATATAATAAAAATTATTATTTTTTATTATTTAAAATTAATCTAAAAAAATGAAGTTTACATTTTCGATTTATAAAAGAATGTATACCTTTAAAGGAGTAACGGTGGCTGCAAATGCCAAGCAAAAGCCATAAACTGCGTGCGCCAGAGTTTTGGGCGTTGATTTGTATACAAATGGGAGAAAGGGGGGGCTATGTGATGTCAATGGTCTAAGATGTTGTAATTTTTTTCTCTTTCTTTTTATTATTATTATTATTATTTGGAATATTTATACTTTTTAATATTTGGTAGGTTGCAAAAGAACAAAGTGTAGGCAACATCATATATTTTTGCCAAAACCAACGTGCAAGTGTTACACATCTTGTACCTTTCACTCATTTTCCCAACTACGAAAAATTGGATGTTTATTTCAATGCAGATAATATAAACTTTTGTTGGAGATAATTCATCAAATATCTTAATATGCGTTACGTTGAAATTTTGGTTATTGTGCTTTTATCAATACTATGGTTATATAACTAGCAAATCAAAATGTTCGAACAGTCAAACAAAAACAAATAATCAACCATTTATTTAAGTAATTGTTGATAGACTTGTGTTAATATAATTTTCAATCTACTTCAAGAACTCTATGATTAATGTATTTATAAAAATTGTGACCATTTACAGGTTCCTACAAATTATTCAAAACGCTTGTCAAAGAATTAGTATACTCCTAATCAATTTTATCATTATATTGTTTACCTTACTGTCACTCTCTCAGTTAAGTAATATAACTCTTTCTACTAAATACTTGAGATCCATAATGTAAAAAGCATGAGAATAAAGTATACAAAGCCGGCCCAAACATAAAACTAAGGCTTTTTTATTAAAAATTTCTATACAATCCCTCCCCTCCCCTATGTCCAAAAACCCTTTTATTTTTTTAATTATATAATTAATTATCAATACGATTATTTTTTAACAGTGTCTTTAGACATATATATGCTTTATAACTCAACCTGATTAAGATTGATGTAAAATAAGTTCACAAAAACTTATAAAAAATAAATGTTATCTATTTAAATATATTTTTGTGAGTTCAAATATTAAGACTTAGACTTTTTAATCTAACTCTCTAAAGCTTACCGTCCTCGACATATCGGCCTTAATAAGTCCAATAATTTGTTTTAGGAATTCTAGTGCGAGCTTCATATCATACATGGGCTAAAAAGATTATGGGCCCATATTCATTTATTCTTTTATAAAATTTAGTAAAAACCATTTTAGTCTGAAAACAGAAAAAAAAAAAAAGAGTGAAAATAACAAATGAGGAAAATATTTTAACTAATTAAAAATAACAAAACTTCATTAAAAAAATCCTTATTAATTTATTACATTGAAAATATAAAAAAATGATTTTAATAAACGTTATTCATATATAAACTACATTTATGAGTATAATAATCAAGACATAATTGTATTACATCATTGGAATATCTCACTCTAAAATGTAGCAAAAGTTTCTGAAGTTGTCGTGTGAGACACCCATCATGTTGGGATTGGACAAGGTGGTCCTGGATCAGCCTTAGGTAGCACCATTGAAGGGTCACTCGGTTGGTAAAATGGCGAGTTGAAGGCGCGTGTGCAAAATTTTTGAGAGTGCGTATGGGCCTTTAACTCTGGGAAACAGGCAACAAAGCAAAAGAAATGCAGTTTCAGAAGGCAGAAACACTGAAACAGTGAGAAGGTGATGACGTTGGGGCATTCAAGTGCCTCTCTTTTTCTGTCAAATTATGCACTTTTGGTCTGTGCCTTATGTTGCACTCCACCCTTCCCACACCCTTCTCACAACACAACACAACACAACAACCTCTCTCCAATAATAACCCCTCTGCTCTTTCATCACACATTATATTACTCATGCATCCCACATCACTTGTTAGAGACATAGCACGTTTTATTTTTTTTACAATAATTTATTTTAAAAATTGTTTTAAATAATTATATTTTTTAAATTATATTATATTTTACTTATATTTTAATATTTTTCATATTTTAAT